GAGAGAGAGAGAGAGAGAGAGAGAGAGAGAGAGAGAGAGAGAGAGAGAAAGGTCATTTATGTGTGCTCCTCACTCAGAGGATGTCCACAGCAATCACCTCAGCTTTGTCTTAATTTCAGCTCCTGGGGAGACTCCTTCTAAATTTTGTATCACCTCTGCTGTGGTCTTCATAGCATTAGAGGTGCTAGGGACTCTTTCTCATGTCTTATTCCTACACTTGTTTAACCTATTGCTCATATTAAATTGTTTTACTGAACAACCACGTGCGAGTTGCATTTGCCTGCTTAAGTGAAAATCTACATAATTATAATATATAAACAAAAATACCTGTTTATATGTCTAGCTACAAGTAGCTATATACATGTGCATAAATGTATATATATTTAAATTATATATGAGAATGGCATATATAAATGTATTTTGACTGATGATTTTCCCAGGAAATTTAATTTATTCATTATTTTTAAATCTCAAAGCCTAGAATAGTTACAATGGCCATTGACAACTCTAGAGGTGCTTAAATACATGCTGTTGTGATAATATATGTTTAATCCACAATTAACTTTATTGGTATACACCCTTTTTAATGTAAACAAAACACAAAGATAAAAATAAGGGTGTAAGTTTTAGAAAACACATACCCCAAATTATAAAAAGAATTCCTGATTAGATTTTATACTGCAGTTTAAAGACAACATGAGGCTGCATGTAATGTTCAATATTCTGATGCATCATGACTTAACATTCATGCTGAAAACAGCTTCCCCTACAAAGTGCGCAACAGAAAGCTAAACAATGACACACACAGCGGCTCGGCCTGCTTTTCTGCATTCATCTATATAGCTGAAATACTGTTCAAAAGCCTTTGAAAGAGCGCTTGTGTTGTTCTTTACACTGACTCAACAGCTAATTGGTTTTTATTACACTGTCTCAGCCGTGCATTAAGGGCAACAACACGTAATTGCATCCTTCATTCAAAGAGCCAGATTTTCAAGCGGGAAAATATGCTATTATTGAAAGACACCAAAAAATAGTTCAAAATGTCGGCTGTCTCCTTTTGTTAGTGAACAAGTAATTAAGGTGAATTTTCTGCAACTTTTTAGAAACTTAAGACGAAGTGGTTTTCTTTTTCATTGCAGAATCTTTATAACGAAAACAACACACATGTCAAACGGTGTCTTCCCATGAAAACAAGACAGAAAGTCTTTCATCCAAAGTACAAAAGCACATGAGCAATAAATATTACAATTTTCAGGTAATGACAAAATAATAAAATTACATTTTCTAGCTTTGATATCTTCTAATGTTGCATATTAATAGCATAAAATTTGGTGAATTATTTAGAGTGCAAATTTAATCCACTGATCCATGAAGAATCTAATTAAAAGTATTCCAGGCTTACAAACACAGATAGTGTAATGGCTAAGGCATATGCGCATGCTGGGGATAAAGTTGAGTACAGCTAGGAAACTTGCAAAAGACAAGCCATGGGAGAAAACGCATTATTTTGATTTTGAAAGTAAAATTTATTTTGCAAAATGAATGGAGGAAAAACAGTGTACATTGCATACGGCAATGAACACTTTTTTCATATAAATGTCACCAGAAACTTTCTCTTCTTAGGACTCATTTGGCCAAATCCCAAATATGTTATCAGTCGATCTATCTATCTATCTATCTATCTATCTATCTATCTATCTATCTATGCATCATCTATCTAAATACACACACGTATGTATGGCTGTTACCACTTCTTCAACTTTATAAGGAAATTTTAGTTACTAACTATGAAATGAGAAAATGAACAATTTAACTAACTACCACAATAAAAACAGTATCGTCAGTACGCTTAGCCAGTAAGTAACTATCTTTCTTCTCCTCTCCCAGCTCTACATTTTCTCTCTTGTTGTCTAATTATTCCTATTTGATGATACAAGTATTTTCCATGTTATTATTTCTAAAAGATAGTATTAAGCAATACTACCACATATCACCAAGTGGCTGTATTTCAAAGATTAAGAAAAAAAGGAAAATCATGAGATTCCTCTCAGGCTGTGACCCTTAGAACATGACAGCTATGTACAGGTTTAACTTTTTTTTTTTTCTTGTCTTTTGTTACAGAAGGATCTACAGGGTGTTCAGGGTCTCACTGTTGGATGGGACTCCTAGTGATCCGCCTGTTTACAGCCTCCCAAGAGCTGAGATTACAGGTGTGCGCCACCACGCCCAGTCTCAGTTGCTGTCTCAGCGCGCCCCAGGGGCAGGGCCAGCATGGCAGGCCCGGGATGGAACCCCTGACCCCTGAATCTGCTTGCAGGCACTTTAATCTGCTGAGCTATTTGGCTGGCCCAGGTTTAACTTTTGACCCAATTAATTTCAATTCCGTCATTTGTGGACTGATGGACACAGTGACATATAAGTTACAGTATTATCATGAAGATCTAGTTCAGTAAAGTACACAGCATGCACCATGTTAGGCAGTCAAAAAAAAAGTCTCTAACGAATTACAAAAACACAAGATATTAAACAATGCTAGCATGTATTAAAGTGTACTGACATTCAATTCCTACCCATCATTTTCAATATTTTTCAAATTAAGTTATTTTGGCAAAGTATACAAAAAAGTCACAAGCTAAATCATAAAAAGCCTGCCTTAAAATGTATTAAAAATGTGTCCTTTAGTAATTAAGAAAGTGAGTTTTATTTGTTTATTTATTTTAGTTAGACCTGGATTAAAGTTTAGATCTGCCTCCAATTAGCTCGGTGGACATTAGGAAAGTTAGTTTTCTTTCTAGTGTCATGGATTCTTTTTCTGCATAGTGGAGAAAACAGAACATAATATTTTGATAAAAACTGTACAAGATATAAAGAAAAATTTTTTTAAGATTTTTGTTTTTGAAATGTTAAAGAACAAAAATATGAGGAGGTGTATATCCATTCATATATGCAGCATCATGTAATAAAATTGTATATACACATTATATAAAAGTGCTGTCCTGTCATATTATTTGATCTCTAGTGTGAAATAAATATCTATTGTTCCAAATAATATTTTTAAACTAATTAACAGTATAGCTTTGTACCTAACTCAGTAACTGCATATTAAACCAATATACATACATTATTCATATAGAGGCTGGAAAATATATATCAGGTAGAATTTTTTGTGCTCAACATGATTAAAAGATACCACTGTCTAATTTTGAGACTGGCTTAGAGACTCAAAAAAGTTTTTATAATACCCAGTTAAATATGAATTTGGATTGATGGTCTCCGTAATGCACAGCCCAGATGCTGATTATACATGGCAATAAAACTGACAGTTCTTTGCATTTTCTCCATCTGCTTTTAACATAAATGGCAAAAACAGCTGCCAGAGACTAGAACATGGATTTAATGGGCTGACCGGAGGGAAGGCAACGGGACTCTGGCTTCTGAATCTTAAATGGCTCAGGATAGTAAATATATTCTAATCATAGGTAACATCAGCCTAGCATCTGAAAAGGAGGAAAGAGCTCTATTCCTTTGAGATTTGAGATTCTCTGTGCTATTCATAACAAAGCCAAAGTAAATACAGTATATCTCTGGAAAGTCACTTCCAACATTAGGAGAAAATACATGCCATTGAAATCCTTCATACGTCTTTACATAAAATGACCCAGTGTATTTTGTACTGTAACATTATTTCTGTTTTGTAATAACAGTCTTCAAATCTCTCTAAATTTAATAAATATCTTCAACAGCTGAGTGCATATTGGCCTCTAGAGGGAATCTTTGCATGTAGCCCGCATTTTTGCTTTGGGACTCTGGCCACACTGATTATCAGCTATCTCTGTCTTGGGATGATTTGTTTCTGAAAATTACCCATTTCCTTCATCTTATTTTATTCCTTCTGATGTCACTCTAGGATACGTTCCCATGAATACAAAATCAATTGACATTTTCAT